CTCAACCGCAAGGATCCAATCGCAGTGTGCACCGCTGGACCTCAACCAGATAGTTTGCCAGATAAAATCCACAAACGCACAATCACAAACACACGACCACAAACGCGCAACCACAAACACACAACCACAAACACAATCACAAGCCCACAGTCACAAACACAATCGCAAACACACAACTACAAACACAACCACAAACACACAACCACAAACACACAACCACAAACACAAAACCACAAACACACAACCACAGCCACACAGCCACAAACACACAATCACAAACACAATCACAAACACAATCACAAATACAATCACAAACACGCAACTACAAACACAATCACAAACACACAACTACAAACACAACTACAAAGACACAATCACAAACACACAACCACAAACATACACACAACACACAAACACACACAAACACACAACCACAAACACACAACCACAAACACACAACCACAAACACACAAACACACAACCACAAACACAACCACAAACACATCCACAAACACAACCACAAACACACAACCACAACCACAAGTACAAACACACAATCACAAAGACACAACCACAACCACAACCACAACTACAAACACATAATCACAAAGACACAACCACAACCACAACTACAAACACATAATCACAACCACAAACACATCCACAAACACACAACCGCAAACACAACTACACACAATCACAAAGACACAACCACAACCACAACTACAAACACACAATCACAAAGACACAACCGCAACCACAACTACAAACACACAATCACAACCACTACCACAACCACAAACACACAACCGCAAACACAACTACACACAATCACAACCACTACCACAACCACAAACATACAACGACAAACACACAACCACAAACACACAACCACAAACACACAACCACAAACACAACCACAACACACAACCACAAACACACAACCACAAACACACAACCACAAACACAACCACAACCACAACACAGCACACAGCCACAGCGCACAACCCGAGGACCCACAAGCAACATCGAGAACTACAATACTAACGACTATGGCAACATGCTCCTCACTATGGCATCAAGACAAATGATTGAAATGTCATGGTGGGGATCACTCGAAGCAAAGTAATTTGTATTTTTGTTTACTTAGTGAAGATAGCGCGGTGCGCTGGCGCCGGTTTTGTAAATGTTTGATAGTGCAACTTTCGGAGTGCTATTGTTTGCCGTTGCAACAAAAGGTGAAGCTGCCTGACGCGCCTTTAGTATTTGCCGGGGCCTTTGGTGGACCGCACCGGCCTCAGAGTGTCGACGTCTTGAATGCGCAGCTTGTGGTGAAGCACACTTAGATTGTTGCTCGCAAGAGCTGATGCCAGTACGAAGTCCCCTTTGACTTGATTGAACGGAAAGAACGAGAACCGAAAGGTGGCTGAGTCGATGGACTTGTAGATGTTTAACAAGGTTTCTCGTAGCTCACTAGTCGATTGGTGCAGGAACTGAAAGAGTGCTGGGTCAGAGAAAAGAAAGGTTTAACAATCGCAGTAGTCCTTTATCATGCTTCTTCGTTGGGCAGTGTCTGTCAGTCGTGCACTGCCCCCCTGAGAAACTATATGTTAGTAGCGATACCAGGAGCCCTTAGTAGCAAAACCAGGGGCCCTAGTAGCGTTCTTTGTGATTCAAAACCTTAGGCGCAAGTGTGGACACACACACGAAGCCGTACTCGGCGCACTGTCCCTTGCTTGCAGTTTTGTAGCGTGGCCTGGAGTCGCTAGTAGCGTCCTTACACCCCGTAGAAAGGTCAGAGGGTACTAGGAGTACCGTCCTGGTAGCGAGGCCAGAAGCCCCTAGTAGTGTTGTTTGTGTCGCAAAGCTTTGTACACATAGCGCCACTATTGGCGCTTTTAGAAAAGTACTAGCCACCTAAAAAGCCTTAGAAAGACAGTAAAAGCAAACAAAACAAAAGCAGACTAAGAGGGCAAGAAAGAAAGATAGGTGTAGTTACGAGGCCCACTTAGTTAAATGAAAGTAGAACGCGAGCGGTGCATTTTGTCTTAAACCGCCCGGGTAGCTAGCAATAGGAAAGGAGAAACAGAAGGAAAGGCACCAACACACAAGTGTGCATGTTGAGTGCGATTTCCTTCTGTTGCCCGAATAGCGGGTGGGATAGCAACGGAGGCCCAGGGGCAGGGAGGTAGGGGGAGGGTGGGTTAGGGTGGCTCGTAGGCCTTGCCATCATTGGCGTTCAAGTAAAGCCGATTTGGGCCGGCGCAACCCATTGTCTGAAAGACACCTGGAACCTAAAGAAAGGCCTCGAGAAACGAAAAGCAACAAAAAGAGATAAAGAACCGAAGAGCATGAAAAGCACATGCAACAAAAGCAGTCGGTGGTTTGACATGCCCGCGTCCTAAGCCCCGCCTGTGATTACTTAGACGGGCATGAAAGTGCAAATCCGAATCGGTTCAAGTCTCAGTAAGCCCTGCGGCACAGTTTCAGTAAGCCCTGCGGCACCAGATCAGTGGTATCAAGCAAAGATGGTCAATCCAAAAATGCAAGTCCGGACTGGAGTGTGAGTCTCAGTAAGCCCTGCGGCGTGGTATCCCCCAGGATCTGGGTCTATGCACATGCAGCGCCCCTCGACTCCCGACGGGGACCACACCACAGCCCTCAGTGGGATGGGACCCTGTGGCGAAAACACACTTAGATTGTTGCTCGCAAGAGCTGATTCCAGTACGAAGCCCCCCTTGACTTGATTGAACGGAAAGAACAAGGACCGAAAGGTGGCTGAGTCGATGGACTTGTAGATGTTTAACAAGGTTTCTCGCAGCTCACTAGTCGATTAGTGCAGGAACTGAAAGAGTGCTGGGTCAGAGAAAACAAAGTTTAACAGTCGCAGTAGCCCTTTATCATGCTTGAAACAGTTGAGGTACACAATGCGGCGTCCCGCATTGCTTCACCACGAACTGACAGTGTCTTCGTTGGGCAGTGTCTGTCAGTCGTGCACTGCCCCCCTGAGAAACTATATGTTAGTAGCGATACCAGGAGCCCTTAGTAGCAAAACCAGGCGCCCTAGTAGCGTTCTTTGTGACTCAAAACCTTAGGCACAGGTGTGGACACACACAGACACTCATATATATGTATATATGTCTTTTCGGACAAGACAAGGCGCGTGTGACCCAAGGACGGTAGCAGTATGCATTACACAAGGAAGCCTGAACTACTTGAGGTACCTGATTTTTCCTTGCTTTTAGGAATTGCTAGCTGAGCTTCCAATCCCCTGAAGATCGATATTCAAGTAGGGTTGCGGGCGTATGTGGAGCGGGGGCTGTACACCGGCAAAGCCCGCCAAGCAGCCTAATAGCAATGGCCTCCAACCTAATAGCGACACGCAGCTGGTTTTGAAATGCGCACGGGGACTTCCAGGATGCCATTCCCATCAGCTCCGTAGGGGTCCGCTGGCCTCATCAAGTCCATCAGTATCGTATCGTCCTTCTGCTCCTTCAGCTGCGCAGGGTGATGTTGCAAGCGCACCCTGCGGGGATCTATTCGTATAACTGGCTCCAATGCATATGTAGAATCAACTGTTCTCACTGATTAATGATAGGGATTATCAACTCCACTTACTTCAGTCATAGGTCATGCAAGTCATTCTGGCCACTGAAAACCTTAAATCGTCCATTTTAGTGGCTTGTGTTTCTTCTGTTTTGCAAACTTAGTCGGTGATGGGAAGACTGCTCGCAACATGACTCCAAGAATCGAACATACGAAGCCTCCTCCTCCCAAGAGGCTTGAATTCTGAACCTTCACAACAGCGAACCACGGCACCGGATCTCAGCATGTTCACAATGCTTAGCAGCAAAGTCTTGCTTCATAAAGTGCCAATCTACAGCAACTATATAATGATTCGTTTGGACGTCGCTGACACCATGAACGTCTACACCCACCAAGTGTGAGTCAAGGAAAGCCAAAACACAATATCATAGAAGTCATAGAAGTGCAAAGTTCATGCCTTGGCTGAAAACTCAGCTCAGCTCGCGATTTAAACGCCTACGAAAGCACATGCAGCACCCACAGCAGCCTGAGGAAAAAGTGATACTTCACCATCACAGTCCAGAGGGCTCTAGCTGCAGCTACTCTGGTTTAAATCCTACTCATTGTTGCTGTTGGTGTGCTTAAGCTCAATGTGACGTGCGGTTGGGCGAAAGCACGTCTTAGACTGCCGCTGTGGCATGTGGTTTCACATTTTGTTGCGGTTGCTTCTTTTCCATGCCCCCCGTCTGTGCCGCGCCATGATGTTGGCTTAGCCTTCACTGCGCGGAGCAGAGGCTTCGCCTCCGCTGTAAAGTGTTCTGCTATTCTTTAACAGTCTAGAGTCTAGTCCTTGTACGTAGCATCTCACTCCTTACCTCACAATCTGCCCGCTGTTTCTTCGGTCAAGTTCATTCTGTTACGCATAGTCTGCCCACACTCAGCATCCTGCTGCCATTGTTTATTCTCCCCTACGCAAGCACTAGAGTCAGGAGAGCCCTACAAAAGATGTGCCCTTTCAGCCAAATGTGACGGTTGTTGCTGTTTCCAAGTGTGTCAGCCTGTTTGGCTTCAGTAAGAAATACGTTGGACAGGACAGGATCAGGCCTTGCTTTGTTTTCACAGCATTTAAGGGTGTGTGCGTTCAAGAACAGCTGCAACAACATGCTTGGCAACACTTCACACTCAAGAGCTTCTCGCACTAAAATGTGTCAAGCATGCGGGGCAGTGCGGTTTCAGTTTGCATACTGGAGGTTTGGCATTTTCATCTTCACACCACTCCGGAATGCTTTGACGCTGGCGAGCCAGAATTCCATTGCAACAGCAGGTGCAGCTCGGCTGGAACATCTACTGTAAAAGCCGATGCCTCTATGAAAGGCCTGTTGGGCTGGTGAAACCGGTGTGCGTGTCACCCAGGAGCTCTACTTGGATGTCTTTGCGGGTGGCTTTGCAAGTGGATGGACCGGAGGTTGGCACCTGCATCATAGTGGTGCAAGCAGACCGATGCTCAGTGCAGGAATGGCCTGCGTTCTACCAAGCAGCCCGCAATTCATCGTCATGGGACCTCTGTTCCATCTCTTGAAGGCCTGAACGTGGCTTTCCTGGCAAGCATGAGGCATCCATCATTAATGGACAGTAAATTGTAGAAGCCGGGGGTCAGGACTGAAAATTAACGGTATATAGCAAAAAGCAACTCTGCAACTCAGTAGATGGAAATGGATGTGACTTCAAAAAGGACATGGTGGTCTGCCTGTCCTTATGTGTTGGTTTTGGATGGCGCCCTCTCGCACATTCATTCCTTCGTTCGTTCGTTCATTCATTCCTTCGTTCGTTCGTCGGTTCGTTTGTTGCATTCCGGTTGGTTGGTTGGTTCGTTGGTTGGTTCGTTGGTTCGTTGGTTTGTTGGTTCGTTGGTTTGTTCGTTGGTTCGTTGGTTGGTTCGTTGGTTGGTTCGTTGCTTGGTTGGTTGCTTGGTTTGTTGGTTGGTTGGTTGGTTCGTTGGTTGGTTCGTTGTTTGGTTGGTTGGTTCGTTGGTTGGTTCGTTGTTTGGTTGGTTGGTTGGTTCGTTTGTTCGTTCGTTCGTTCTTGCAATTGATGGTCGGTTGGTCGGTCCGGTTCGTCGGTTCGTTTGTCACCCTTTCATCACCATCAGCAGCGGCGACTTGTACACCCACCCAAATACAAACACACGCAGACAGACTCAAGTTAGTTCGTGCTGCTGCAGGGATTGGTTGGGGGGACGTAAGTAAAACCAAAAGCGATCAGCGGCGTCCAACTACTTGTAGGAAAGTTCAGCAAGATCTGTTCCAAGTGCCAAGTTCTAGGTTCAATTGCGACTGCCGAATGCGCTAGCAGTCACTAGCACCGTAGTGCGGAACTGATGGAAGGGCTGCAGGATTGTTGTCAGTCTTGTAGTTACAGGTGCGCAGAGCTGTTTGATGCTCTGCTTCCAGCACGAGTGGATAGCTTCGGGTGCAGTCTCCGCTCTCCACTGTGCTTTCCCTCCATGCCCCAAGAGTACTCACTCAGTTCCAAAGCCCAGCTGCAAAGATTCAACTAGCCACCCCACAAAAACAGCAAAAGCTGACCCGTGATGTGTCCACATACACTGCAAATACGCACGCCCCTCAAATATCCTCATACAACTAAAAGAAAAATAGGGGGAAAAAGGGAGGAGTTGTTTTATAAGGTGCCTCGCTGATTTGATACAAATTGACGCTGGCCCCGGCGGTCGAGTTCCACCAAAGCAGCACCACTACACGGTCCTCCTCGCACAACCGGGCTGAGACACATTTACAAACGCAAAGATCCTGCCGCCTGCTTTGTCACACTTTACATAACAGTGACAGACTTCTCGCTGGTCAACGGGCGCTCTTCGGGCTGACCCGGGCTCACTCGCCCGCTCCTTACTCAATCACTCACTTTTGCGGACTCATGCACGCGCATTATTGCACACTTCCTGTGCAACTCACCGAGTCCATTTTTCAGGATGATTGTTCAAATGGCCACTTGTCAGGGATGACTTGGGGGCAAAGCCCGCAACCCCCCCTCCATTTGAACCCAAGTCATCAAGAGTCCGTCGGTTGCAAATGTTAGGCTGCCTGGTGCAGCCATGGTCAGTAATGATTGTGGGTTTTGTGGGCGTTCGCTGTGTTCACCTCCCTGGACCCTCAAGTTTGTGGGTCGGAAGCGCCAAAGCGCGGTGAAGTGATGGTAGCTGATGGCATTTCCACGTCAAATTTCTCAGTGAAATCTCAACAATCGTCCCTTGGCCCTTGCCCAGCACTTGCCTATTCTTTGAAACATGTCCATCCATGACAGTTTGCTTGTTTGATGATGTTTGATGCATTTTCATTGGATTGGTGCCAGGAGCTGCTCAATTCAGCCGTTTTGGCAGTTGTTTGCTGCGCAATTGCTGAAAGCTGCATCTCCTACTCGTCGCAGACTTTGAACGTCAATGGCTCAAAACCAAAAGGTGTCGAAGATCTGTCGAAGAGGAGAACGACGTTGACAGTTTGGCAGATGTTCTCGAGGCGCAGATGGCCTTCAATGCCGACCAAGAACTAGCCGGGTCAAAGGACCAGGCGCAGCTCAATCCTCAAACTGCCAAATGCGAATAATGCGAAGCATGCGAAGCTCGGAATTCAGGTGGAGCTTTGGAACCCTTTTGTGCCAATTGGACCTGGTTCCTCAGTTCACATGCTGCGATCCTTGGCAAAGACTGACCGGAGAGGAAGGGTGTTGTAGTGGTGCTCTGGACAATACACATCACTTTCCCATAGAAACATGTTTGACAAGGGCATCAGTCTGCAAATTGCTACAGCTGCCCTCGCAGTGGAGCTGTGATGCTACGTAGGAAATTTTGTGGCGCTGAGTGGGCTGAGAGTCTTCTCAAGGCCATGCCAGGCCACCGATGCGTTTAGTTTAGTTTGTGTTGAGAACAATGTGACTTGATGTGGCTTGTGTCCTGGCCTGCAGGATGTCCTGGCCAAAGCTGCTAACTTCTTGGGCCTGCAGCTGCCGCAAGGACCACAGGAGCGTTGACCTAAATTCTGGAGCTTGAGAAGCGACAGTATGCGGTTGAAGCTTTTTCTGTGGATATACCGCTGCAAGGTTTTTTGGAGATTTCATAGCATCAATGGGGGCAGCTGCGCATAGCTTAGCGCCAGCTGCATGAATCCTCTCAGAATTGAGGTTGGTACTAGTCCAGTGTGCAACTTTTTCCTTCAGATGCTGCAAGTGCCGTGCTTTGAGATTCTCAGCGCTCCGTTGAACCAGCTGTACAACTTTTCTGCTAGTTCCTCAGATTGTCATTATGAGACGGGACCTGTGAAATATGTTTGGACTGACTAAGGTGACCTCCAATGAATTCATGGGATCTGGCTTCGTGGATAAGCTCATTTTGTCCAGGGCGTATTTAGTGCAGACCTATTTGGTTTTCGATCTCGAGGGCCATGTGGCCAGCCAGCTGAAGTTAATATGGTGGGAGTGTTTGGAAGGTTTCACCAGGTGTTTGTTTTCACAAATGCGTAGCTTCAGAACACAAATGTCACTTTGTTGAGGGTTGCTTTGGTCTTGCACTTTCGTGCTCTAAGCGGTTGCTCTAAGTTCTGCGTACGATATACGGTCTGTATATATATATATATAAATGGATGCAAAGCCTGGATCCCACCTGTATAGTCACCCCTGCTCCGGGGTGTTTGCAGGTTGATCCATCCATTTCCTGATCCATTCAATCCATTCCTCAGTTGCTTCGCCCTCTTCCCGATCCTCATGTTCATCCTCGGCTTTACCTACCATCATTTTGATCCCTTTTTTTGTGATCGGCCGATTCATTGTGACCATAGGAGCGAATTGGGCCCGTGACTTTGTCACAACATGATTCGCGGCCTGTCTCCCACTTGTTTCCCCACTAAGAGTAGCCTCCCCACATGCCTCCCACTAGTCTGAGGCTTGTCCACTTTTCTCCTCGCCTTTAGGTGGCCACGACATGTCTCAGACTCGTGAGTGGCTCTTGGGGTCATGTGTGGCAATCCTTCATGTTGGGCACCAATAGCAGGCGCCTTTGTTGCGAAAGCCTGTGTGCAATGCAGGTGGTCAGCGTTTCTGGAAAAGGTCGTTCGTTTGTTGCTTTTGCTTCATATGGTTTTTGGCTGGGAGATTGATGACAGCGCCGTTGAGAGGAATGAGCAAGCCATGCTGCGTGAAACTGTTTGGGGTTTGCGCGGAAATATCTTAACCGCAGAGAAAGTGTGCATTTGCTTGGTTTTGCATAGCTTTTTGCTATGCAAACACGCAGGCGCACACACACACACACTTATAGAAATGCGTACAGACTGAATGCCACAAACTCATGAAACATCGGGGTGAGTTGCCGACACACTAGCCGCTAGCCCTTGACTGAAGGAAACAACTTAGTGGACAGCTTTTGCTTTACGTAGGTTTCTCTCAAAGCAGGTACGTTGATCCAGGGTCCCGCATCCATACCACCAGTTCACCAGCACATATCCAAGGGTTACACACTTATTGAATTGCGTACGGATGTGAATGCCACTCGCCACACGGCAACCTAAGGGACCTGATTCCTGAGAGGAACATCGAAACCTGTGAATCCTGGAGGTCTTCAAACGAAGAGGAGGCCAAAAGAGCAAAAGCCCGAATCGACGAAACGACCGGGTGACGGCGGTCGTGCGTGACTGCGGATTTCAGTAAAAGTTCAAACGAGCGGCTGCAATCTTTGGGGAAGGGCCACACGCCCCTGCTGTAAAAAACAAGTTGAGTGCTTCTCTAAACCCAGGCGGTAAGTGGTCAATGCAGAATCACTTTTTGGTAAGCCACAGGCAGTGACTTCCCTTTGGCTCGTTCGGTCAAGCTCCCTCAAGCAAATGATTTGCTGCTGGAACTCCCCTTGGCTGGCGAGGAATTCCTGGATGGGGAATCCCCGCCCCTTCACACAGTCCTTGCCGATGCGCGGTGGGATGCAGGCCCCGGTGAGAGCCGCCTCCCTCTTCGGTAGTTCTCTATCCCTGCAAAGCCAGGGTGGCCTCGCCCTTGCAGGCAGAAAGAAAAAACACAAGTTCACAGCATACATGGGATTGCAAGACAACGACTATACAGATTTGCTACAGGCAGCGGAACAAGCCACAGCAGAACTCACAGAGATACAATTACGAGCAGCGGCATCAACAATCGAAGATGGTGAACGACATGATCGCCTCAGCACTGATTTGAGGTACATCCTCATCAACACAACAACAGGGGCAGCAGCTACAGTCTGCAGACAGTACCAGCACACAATTGGCTTCGAGATGTACCGACAACTGTGCATCCGCTTCTCCATCCCATTAGGGACAAGATCCATAGGACACCTGACAAGATTGTGGAAACCAACATTTGACAAGAACAACTTCGAAGAATCATTTTCCACATGGGAATTTGAGCTACTGTACAACGATTTGAGCGAGACAATGGACAAACACTCACAGACTCCGTGAAGATTGCAGTATTGCTCAACGAGACAAGTGGACCAGTACAATCAACACCTACAACTGCTTTCAGGACAAAGCCCGAACTACGCACGAGTCAAACAAACAATCATCGAGTACTACAGGTCGACAACAGCATTCAGCAAACTACAACAACTACGATCACAATCGTCCAGCGTGGCGACAAGCTTCGGTGGAGGACAAGCACCTATGGACATCGATGCAATCCGTAAAGGAAAAGGCAAGTACAACAGTTACAAGGAAAAGGGAAAGGAAAAGGAAAGAACAAAGGCAAAGGCTACGGAGGATACAATGGCTACGGCCACAACAGTTACAACACCAACTACAAAGGAAAAGGAAAGTATGGAGGAAAAGGATTCAACAACTACAACAATAGTCCGATCGGCTTCGGCAATCCATTCGGAAGAGGCAACAAAGGAAACAAAGGATTCAGCAAAGGATACAACAAAGGCAAAGGAAAGAACAAAGGAAAACAAGCGACAGATACATGCTACAGATGTGGAAGAACAGGACACTATGCCAAAGACTGCCGAGTAGCAATACACAATATTGGACAAGGAGAAAGCAATGACATTGAGGACACAACAACACAATGGTACGATGACTACAATGACAATGGATGGCACTTTCAGGACTACACACGACAACAACAAGGACAACAGCCGTTGGCACTTCCGCCAATTCCATCCACCAGCAACCACGATATGACACCAATCCATGTCATCGCCATGATCAGCAATGGCAATGACCACAAGACAGATACCACAAACAGTGGCACAACGGACACTATGCACATCATGATCGACAGTGGAGCAGCCACACATGTCTGCCCACTATGGTTTGCAGACAACTATCCAGTGTACAAGATTGACCAAGCACAAAGCCCAAACCTCAGGACAGTGACAAACAAGACAATACAATGCTATGGAGTAAGATGGGTCTACATGCAATCAAGAGGACAACCAATTGTCATACCCTTCTATGTGTGTGACATCCATGACCCAATCCTGTCAGTGACAAGACTGGCAGAACAAGGCTTTGACATCAGGTTCAACGACACTCCAACAATGCGCCACGACAAGGGATTCAATGTTCCCTTGGTGCAGCAGCGCAACCTCTACTACTTGCCAGCAGCAATCATAAACCTGGGACAACATCAGCAACTACAGCTGAGACATACACAAAAGGGCATGATTGCAATGATTGCCCCAACAACACTGACAAAGCATGGACTGCAACAAGTCCTTGGAGGCAACAGCGACTATTGGAACTACAACAATGAAGGATGCCTTGTGCGGTATCACCGGAACAAGAGAAAGGCTCTCTTTGTTCCTGGCAACAATTGCCCAGTACCACTGGAGGCACTGAGCAACTGCAGACGAATTCGACGAACAGACGGGAACAACGAAGACATTGTTGAACGATACCATGACTTGAGCAAGCACGAAGAACGACGACTGATACAAGGAGACACATGGACAGGAGAAACATGGTTTAGAGTGAACAAGCCGCCAGCACAGCCGGCAACTACAACAGCGAAGACAACAGAGCAGACAGAGATAGCACCGCAGGCACAACTAGCACGACACCAATCCACAACACTACGGCTCCCGGAACAAGACGGGACAACGCAGCAGGTAAGCAGAGAGCCACTATACAGACACACAACGAAGAAGCCAGCGCCAACAACCACGGCAGTACCTGATCCATCCACAATGACACCAACAACAGACTATTGGAGCAGAGAAGGACACTATTGGAAACGAGTTCACGTACAAGTACGGACGACAATGTACGTACCACAACAAACAGACGATGGTCCAGACATTGGACGACTCAAACCGACACGGACAACAGTCGTGAACAGAACGGAACAAGGAAGAGGACACACAATCCATGACAATTGGCGCGAATCAGGAGCAAGACAGCTTGACAGACACAGGACTGGATCAACAAACTTCGAGGAAGAAGCGACGTACAAGTACGAGTACGATACGGACAATGAAGATGAATCTCAACAAGCACAACGCGCCAAAGGAATGAAGGCGCCACAACAACCAACAAGACAAGAAAGACTAGAACATGAACTGACACATTTACCATACCGCTCATGGTGTCCAATATGTGTCAAGAGCAAAGGAAGAACAGACAATCATCCGAAACAAGCAAGCAAACAACCAGTGATACAAGTGGACTTCACCTACATGAAAGCATTTGGAGACAAACAAGTACTACCAGTACTGAGTCGAATCAGGCATGGCAATGGCAGTTCTTGTACAAGACAAGAACCAACAACAACAATACCTGACACGATGTCTACAAACATTCATGTTCGAATGTGGACGAGCACAAGCAACACTATCGACCACAACACTACAACCAGACGAAGAAGAATACATACAGAACCTACTGAAGGCCGCCACGCAAAAGCTCGGAAACAACGTCAACATCCGACAATCACCGGCGTACTCGTCACAATCACAAGGAAGCATTGAACGATTCCATCGCACCTTGATGGGACAAGTCCGAGCACTGGCGCAACAAGTGACCACAAGCTACAACCTTACATTGAGCGTACAACACCCGGTCATGCCGTGGATTGTACGGCATGCAGCCTGGCTACTGAACAGGTATGCCATGCACAATGACGGACAAACAAGTTACCAAAGACGATGGCAGAAGGACCACAAAGCACCACTATGCGAGATGGCAGAAACAGTACAATACATGATACCAACAACAAAAGCACAACCCAAATGGAGCCAAGATTCTTCAAAGGAATCTGGCTTGGCAGAGATACAATGACTGGAGAGTCAATAGTTGGCATCCCTGGCAAGGTCATCAGAGCAAGAACAATACGAAGACAGATCATGCCAGACAAGTACGACAAGCAACTATTGGATACTATCAACGTGTATCCATGGAACTTGCCAACAACACCAATGGCAATTCC